TATAAGGCAGACATGGTGTGGAACAAGGCTTGGAATCTAACATTTCAGTCTTGGTAAGAAGATCCGTAACATACTTAGCTTGAGAAAGAACCATACCATCATTCTGAGAAATAATCTGAATTCCCAGGAAAAAATGCAAAGGACCCAAGTCTTTTATGTCAAATGCCTTTGTCAAAGCAGAAATCACATCAGAGATCAAATTGGGAGCATTACCAGTAATGATAATGTCATCCACATAGAGAAGTAATATCACTACAAAAGAATCAATCTTTTTCACAAACAAAGAGGGATCGGCATAAGTTGTAGTGAATCCAAGTGAGGGCAAAAAACTCGTGAACTTGTCATTCCAGGCTCTAGGAGCCTGTTTTAAGCCATATAAGGACTTGTGAAGTTTGCAGACATAATCAGAGTAATGAGGATCAACGAAACCTGGAGGTTGTGACATATACACCTCTTCCTGCAATACCCCATGCAAAAACACATTCTTAACATCAAGTTGTCTCAAATTCCACCCAAAATGAGCAGCCATGGCCAATACAAGTCTCACCAACAACTGGACTAAATGTTTCCCCATAATCAATGCCTTCCTCTTGATTGAAACCTTTTGCCACTAGTCGAGCCTTATATCTCCCTATAGAACCATCAGCATTCCTTTTAATTTTAAAAACCCATTTACACCCAACCAGGTTTTTCTGTGCTGGAAGAGGAACTAAACTCCATGTAGACTGAGTGTGTAAGGCAGATAACTCTTCTTGCATTGCATCAACCCATACCTGACACTTTAAGGCAGATTTATATGTTGCAGGTTCGACTGTAGACAAATCCACTGCCTCATTGTCATGAGTTGTAGTAAGTAAGGCCATCTTTTTGGAAATACCACTCTTGGACCTGGTTTGCATTGGATGCAAATTCAATGGAGGAATAGAGAGAACAACTTGAAGTCTCTCAGGTTGAAACTCAAAACTTTCAGAATTCGGAATTGGAACCACAGGATTCACAGATGGAACCTCAGAAGCCACAGGGATTTGTGGAGATGAATACTGTTCATTTGCAGACCCATCAGATATTGGAGATAAGGATGATGAAGAATTCAAGGAATTGGAATGCTGTGAAACCGGAGAGGCTGGTGAAACTAACACATTATCAAGATTAGGCATGGATGGTTGTGGGGGAGATGGTGGATGGTGAGGTAGGATTGGTTGTGAGGTCACATGTGATGTATGAAGACTAGGGGAATGTGATGATACAAGACCGGGATAGGGAAATTCAGATTCATCAAATAACACATGCCTGGAAACATAAACTTTCTTCTTGATGACTTCATAACACAAATAACCCTTGTACTTTGATGCATATCCCAGAAAAATACACTTGGATGTCCTAGGTTGTAACTTTGTGGTGTTGAAGGGTCTTAAAAGCGGGTAACAAGAACAACCAAAAACTTTAAGGTGACTGACATCAGGAACCAAACCATAAAGAATTTCAAATGGAGACTTCTGATTAAGTGTTTGTGATGGCATTCTATTAACAAGATACACTGAAGTCTGACAAGCAAATGACCAAAATGGTGCAGGTAGGTGAGAGGTTTGAAGAAGAGTAATGGTGGTTTCAATAATATGACGATGTTTCCTTTCGGCCAAACCGTTTTGTTCTGGTGTATAAGGACAAGACAACTGATGACGGATACCTTTAGAAGTGAGAAAAGTTTGGAAATGTTTCCCTATATATTCACCCCCGCCATCACTTTGAAGTGTTTTGATTGAAACTGAAAATTGATTAAGTATAAACTGATAGAATGTCATAAATGTAGCACAAACATCAGTTTTATTGATAATTGGAAAAATCCAACAGAATCGGGTACATTGGTCTATGAAGGTAACATAGTACTTAAAATCTTCTAGAGACAGACACGGAGCAGGGCCCCATACATCGCTGTGAACAATATCAAAGGGATGAACATACGTATGTGAAGCAGAATGAAAGGGTAATTTGCTAATCTTGCCCTCTAGACAATTGGAACACAGCCTAGATATAAAATCAGCAATACTAGGAAGATTTGATTTCTTAAGCATAAGAGAAGCAACCTTATTTGATGGATGACCTAATCTATGATGCCATAGACTCGAGGTTACTTGTTTGCCAATGTAAGCAGCTACTGGAGGAGCTTTTTGTATAGAAGAAGATGATGGTGTGGAAGGAATGGGATACAATCCATTACTGCATAGACCTTTGAACAGTATTCTCCCTGTGGCTTTGTCCTGAATCCAAAAACACCAAGCATCAAAGATCAGCCAACAATTATTGTCAAGACAGATTCTATGTACAGAGAGTAAATTCTGAGATATTCTAGGTACATATAGGACCGAATTTAACTTCAAATCATGAAAAGGAGTCTGCAATATGGAAGATCCTCTGTGGGATACGTTCAAACCTTCACCACTTGCAGTTTGGATCATTTCTGTTGAAGGAAAAAGAGTTGCCAATGACAGATTATTCAAATCTGCAGTCATATGATTTGTTGCACTCGAATCTGTAAGCCATACTTACTGAGAAAGATTGGATTCCAGTGGTGGAGCAGAAGCATTGACATGCATAGCATTCATGGATCCAGCAGTAGAAGGTAAATTTGCATTCCTAAAGTGACAGAACTTTGCACTGTGATTCCTTTTTCCACAGATTTGACACCCATCAGCCACTATAGAATCAATATTCCGAAATCGACAAGTATCAACAAGATGACCATATTTGCCACTGATTTGACAGGAAGTGCCAAAAGAAGACAGCTGCTGTTGTGGGGAATTTCCAAGAATCCCACGACCTTGAGTCGGGTAGAATGGCTTATTAGTCCCAAATTTAGAACCATACTGAAACTTTCCTTTGCCTTTGTTCTTGTTGTAAGAAGAACGATATTGAGAGGCAGCAGTTTGATTGTTGTAAAGATGCTGTTGATCAAATGTTCCCTTAAGATTTGACTGAGACCCATCATGATCCGCAACCATTGCAGTAAGAAAAGGAGTTGCAGAGACATTCAATCATTGCTTCTTCAGCAAGTAATTGAGATCTCAGATCCTTCATTGAAATAACATGATCCCTGCCTCTAATGATTGATCTAATCGTGTTATATTCAGACGATAAGCCATTAAGAGTAAGAATAACTATATCATCATCATCAAATTTAACCCCAGCTGCAGAAAGATAATCCCGAGCCTCCTTCATTCGTTGTAAATACAGAGAAATAGAATCATTACCCTTTTTGATATTCTGCAACACTGACTTCATTTGGAAGATACTGGTTCTTGTAACAATTGAAAATTGTTCCTTAAGTCTTGTCCAAAGATCCTGAGCACTAGTGCTTCCTATCGCACAAGAAACAGCAGACGGTGAAAGAGTTGCAGTAATCAATTGCATTAAGGCACGATCATGCATCTTCCAAATCTTGTAGTCATCAGATTCTGTTTGAGAAGTAGTTCCTTGAGAATCAACCTCAGACCCACTAGAGGTAGTCCTTGTAAATCGAATAGGACAGGGAGTAGAACCATCCACAAAACCCAAAATACCATGCCCTTCGAGAAGAAGCTGCATCTGAAAATGCCAAACCAAGTAGTTTGTCTCATCAAGCTTTACTGTCACAGATGATGAAACAGTGGAGATGAGAGAAGTAATCGGAGACTGGAGAATCTGTAATTGAGAAGGAGTAATCATTGGTGCAAGAATTCAGAAAACTTGTTCGAGAACAATGATTGAGAACTTGTATCGAACACTTGGTGTGCACAGAAGACAATCGCCAAGAAGACTAATATGTAGAAGAAGATGAGCTCCAGAAATTTATACAGAGCACACAAAGATCAGAAACATCAAAGAAATCAGAAATGATGAGCGGAAGCAGTCCAAAATTGAAGATTTTCACCTAGCGATTAGCTAATCCGGCGAAGATACCATGTAAACCAAGCTGTAATCACAAGGAAGAATATGCAGTATTACACTTGAGAGAGAGAAGAGAAATGAGTCGAGAGAGAAGAGAAGATAGAGAGAGAAGTAAACTTTCATATATTGTGTTTTCTGAATGATTACAATCTTACTGTTCTAAGACTATATATTCTCTATATAAAACTTTGCTGTTTAAGTCACAACATAACTAACTTCTAACAGCCTTGCTAATCTCTTGACAAGTGTCTTATTATATCACCATTAATACTATCCTTAACATAAATTACATTAAATTAGTTGCCAAATGATTTTTTTTAACAAACGATATTATCTACACCAAGGGGGAGGGAGTGGGTTTAGCCTCATAATAAACTAGCAATAATGTGATTCAATCAGTTGTTTATTAAATATTATTTTCTCTATTTTTAAACACGTTCAAAACATCTTAAGAGGCGTGTAATGCTAGTTATAAAAAAGGTATTTCGCACGCGGATAATAATGTGATTAAATTAGTTGTCAAATGATTGTTTTTTTTTTTTACAAACGATATTATCTACACTAAGGGGGAGGGATGGGCTTAGCCTCATAATGGGTTAGCAATAATGTGATTCAATCAATTGTTTATTAAATATTATTTTCTCTATTCTTAATGTAAATTCTATAAAAACCGATTTTATTATGTAATTCAGCTGCTTTAATTGGTTTATGTGGTTCTTCTAGCATGATTTAAGATTATTCATTTACTTCAAATATTTGACTTTTCTTTTGTCAATTTACGCATCTAAATACAGTTAAAACATGTAGTTGCCCGTAGCATGCCGTGATTCAAAAAATGTCTTCTGCACACACGTGAACGCGTGTATGAAGGCTAATGACTACTGAAACCGATGAAAAAGTAAAACACAAAATACTTAATATTATTTATTAACTTTTTTTGGGGGGAGGAGGGGGCGTGCGTGCATGAAGGCTAGTCACTACTGAAACCGATGAAAAAGTAAAACACAATTAACATAGTGAAAAAAATACTTAATATTATTTATGAACTTTTTTTTGGGGGGGGGGGGGGGAGCGGCGTGGGTGGGAGTGGGGAGGGGCGCATGGCCCCCGCTGGTCATCAAAGCCTAATATGCCACTGATGCTACAAATATTAACTTTTAGTACATGCATCATTCCATCCCCAGAGGCATCAAATGCTCTCCTTCTCATTCCCCGGCAGCAATGATATAAATATAAGTAGTTAGATAAGCAGGACATGTCAAGGGTGTTATGATCAACTTCAGGAGCTCAACTCTCAATGGCAGGCTGGTGGGTTTTGTATGCCACCAAAACCAGCTTTTACATTTTTACATACGGAGGTGAGAGCTGCAGCATTTGGACCAGTATACTTCAAATCAATGTCGTGAAGCTGGATGTTTTGGCAAGGAACCTGGCTGCTGCAAATGAAATCTACTGCCACATTTGACGGTGTTGTCCCTTTGATGTTTATGTAATGAACATTGCTGATCTGCACACGCGATGGCTGCACAGTGTTGAAGAAAGTCGGTAAAAGAAGGTTAAGATTAGAAGTCAAGAGTTCGATCTCATTTATCGACTTATTAAAAAAAAAAAGAGAGTGATTACTTAGGGTTATAGGATAATTAGGTTAACAAACCTGGTTCTTGTCGCATCCCCCAGCGCAGTACTCTTGGTCAATAATGATAGGGTTCCTAACATTCTGCATGATGAGGTCCTTGAAAACCATGCCTGATGCCAGACTAGGACCCGATCCTGGCCATGACTTGATTCTAATCCCATTGTCTGTGTTCAAAAATGTTGTCTTCTTCACGGTGATCCCTTTCACGTCATTTTCGTGCTCATACTTGCCAAGGCTACCGACACTGTCATCAATAAAATGGGGACACAAATTAGTCCATGAACATTTAGGAGGATAGGTGGTATTTATATAAGACATAGTAGCGGAACAATCTATTATATGTTAGCAGATTGTCAATCTAGACCTTGATTATATAACTGTCCTTCAAATGCATCTATAGTCCAAATTTTATAGTCCAACAACATTACATGTCAAGAATAATGTATAGCATAAGAGTTCAAATACTAAAAACTCGATTATATATCTACCTAATGCCATGTCCGGGGCCACAGATTACGTTGTTGATGGCAATGTTGGTGGATCCCTGAATCATGCCGATGCAATCATCACCAGTGGCAATGTGAGTTCTGGCAACCTTGACATTGTTGGAGTTGCTAATGTGGATGCCGTCAGTGTTGAGGCTTGTTCCAGGGGCAGAGATATTCACTCTGCGAACCCTAACATTCTGGCTGTCAGTGATGAAAAGGTGAACTCCTTTGCTGTTGAGGGAACTAATGCCTCGAATGACCCCGTTAGAGACGCTATTGAATTTGATGCTCTGCATTAATTAATCCAATAATTAAAGCCAGTTTTCTTTCTTATGAATTATTAGGTTCACATCCTTCTTTTTGCTACTCTATTGATTAAAATTCTATTCATTTTCAATTTTTGATCAAGATCCTTAGGTATTAATAACATCATTAATTATTTGAATAATAAAATATTTTATTTTTAAATATATTCCTTTAGTGTTAAAAATGTTAAAATTAGTGTATTTATATTTATGACTAAATTTTTTATCATATATTTTTATTTTTAGTTTGTACCTATTTTTAATTTGTACCAATTTTCTTTTCATTTTGTAATTTGTACCCATATATTGGTTTCTTTTTGTGCCCATATTTTTTAAAGTTTTATTTGTGTTTGTACCCATGTGTACACCGTCACTTGACATTGTATATTTAATCAATGATAGAAAAATTACATATGGTATATTTATGTTTTATGCCTAAACTTTGTATCATATATTTATATTTTTAGTTTGTACCCACTTTTAATTTGCAACATTTTTTTTTAAATTTGTAGTATTTTCTTTTTAGTTTTATTTTGTACCCATGTATTAATTTCTTTTAGCACCCATATTTTTTTAAAATTCATTTGTACTCATAATTTTTTAATCTTTTATCTGTACCCTAATTTATTTATAATGTACCCATTCTTCTTTATTAATGTACCACTTTGTTATATGTGAAATATACCAATTTTTTTTGTAAAATGTCCCATTTTTTTAACACTACGGATACATTCTGTTGCCATTTATTATTTCTTATTTTTACATAGTTTTTATCCGTTTTATTCAATCAAAATGTTTGATTTTTTTTATTGTAACCATTTCTTATAATGAGAGATTTTAAATTTATAGGATTATAAATCTCATAAAATATTAAACAATTAATGTCAAAACTATAAAAATATAAATATTAATTGTAATATAATGAGGTGTACAAAGTCAAGGGACTTTGATCAAACTTTGAATACCATTAAGGTTTTAGTCAAAAAATGTTAATGATTAGGGACCGCATCCAAAGTATTCATATATATATATATATATAGAGGAGGCTCTAGTTAACTAGTTGGTAATGAGTATAGAACTTACAGATGGGAGTGGACTGCAACCGTCGCTCGAACTGCCGCAGTCACCAGCGACTTTCCAGGCACTTGATCCTTGTCCGTCAAAGACGCCATTGCCGGTAATGACCAAGCCCTCTACTTTCTCAAACAAGAACCAGTATGGCTCTTCATATAAGGACAGATCATTCAGGCCTTTTATGGTCCCTAAAACTTGAACAACTATGGGTTTAGCACAGGTGCATGGCCCTTGAAATACCGCTGGCCCACTCTTGTATGTCCCTGGTGGGATCAGAACCCTTGATCTCCGGTCAGTGTTATTCTTACATGCTGCAATCCATGTTTTTATGAAATTCTGCCATTAATAGCAAAAGAAAAAAAAAATCAATTTAGTCAGACGACCCAAAATGAATTAGTTTTGTCAGTTTTGCACCGTCGTTTTCAGAATGTGATGAATACGTATCATACATTTATACAACATAAAATAATGTTAGGGTAACATAGTATTACCATACTTGCATCGTGGTTCCCATCAGGCTTGGCGCCGAAATCCACCACGTTAAAGATTTTCTCATCAGGATCAGCTGTGTCATGGACACCCAAATTACTACCACGGAAAACATCGAACACAGCCGGAGGAATGGCAACCGAGGCAGCGGCTCGAGAGGCCAATGCAGCTAAGCACAAGATAAGAATGACGTGGCAATACATTCCTCCAGCAATGGCCTGTTGGAATTGTTGGATCGCCGGGCCCGTCCCACTCTAACAACACCGATACTGTCCCCACTTAACCACCTGCACAATCCTCAGGTGTGGGGTTTTATCACAAAAGGCCTCGGTATTAGTTAGAGTGGGATAATACTATTTAAACTTCTTTAGTTTTCTTCACCCCACCGATGTGGGACAGTTTAACACTCCCCCTCACGTGTAACCTCATTTAGTGGTTCACACGTGGAGATCCACATCAGTAATTGAAACTCAGAGGTCGGCTCACGTTGGGCCCACTTGTTTTCAATTGGAACTCAGCGGTCGTTTCTATATTAAGAGTTTAGACTTGTTTCCTTCCGGGTGGTGACAAGCTCATTGGCTTGCACACAAGCTCGTTGGCTTGCACGGGCCCGCAACCGTGGGCTCTGATACCATGTTGGAATTGTTGGATCGCCGGGCCCGTCCCACTCTAACAACACCGATACTGTCCCCACTTAACCACCTGCACAATCCTCAGGTGTGGGGTTTTATCACAAAAGGCCTCGGTATTAGTTAGAGTGGGGTAATACTATTTAAACTTCTTTAGTTTTCTTCACCCCACCGATGTGGGACAGTTTAACATGGCCATGGCCTCCTTTTCAACTCTACAAAGCTAGCTAGCTAAAAAATTATGTAAAGAAATTTTGTCTACTATTTTTCCCGATTACATAACAAGTCTCCGGGGAGACTTGACGATTAAAGTTAGGGATGGATAAATTCTCTTTGAATGCCTGTATTTATACTAACTAAAAGAATTTGTTAAGTACCCTCCGCTGCTATCTGTGCGGGGAGGCTCGAACTCTACGGTGAAGGTTAGATTAATTAGTTTTTTTTATTTTTTTTATTTTTTTTTTTTAAATAATTGGTTTGCCTAAAAATGGTGATATGCTTTGTGCGTGCATGACTAATTCCCTAAGTTTAAGGTACATGTTAAAATATTGTGGTCCTTCACTTCCACCATTGTAGGGCGCTAGTTCTTCTCCATGCATTCATCTGCTTTTGCATGGCCACCAAATTATTACCAGACTCCCACCAACAAGACAAAATTAATTTAAAAAAACAGATTGTGTTTTTCCTTTTAGTAGGATTTTTTTTGCAAATACTAGGAAGACTAAATTTATATATAAAGTTTGCAAATTAAATGATGTGTCACAAATTAGAATAAGCACGTTTATCAATGCTTATGTAATAAATCAATAATTAACTTTCATATCCTTTAATTTTCAAAATTTTGTCTCTCTAGCATTACTTTTTTTTTCTTTCCTTATGTTGCTCAATTCATAAACTAATAAATAACTAATAAACCGTGCCTTGGTTTTAACTAATCATCAGTTATCAGTCGGTTACTATAAGTGATCTATGAACAAGAGACTCCTAAATGTTGAAGGGAAAAAAAAGTTGTAACTTGAGGTGGATTTTAAGATGGGTGTTTACTATTTGCCAACAGGATCCTCTCCATATCCCTTTGGTGAGGATTCTGAGGATCCATGAATCATGTTTGTTCATCGTACATCATGCGATCAGTTTTTGTCAGGTATTGTTTGTGTTTAATTTTAAATAAAAATATTTAAAATAATTTCTGATCGCACGATGTACGATGAAAGGATACGATTCACAGATTCCCAGATCCCCACAAAAAGAATCTGGCAAGGATCCGGATTCTAGTATTTGGTCCATGAAATGAAAAAGGCACTGTTTTTGTTTATGTCCCATCTTTTTCTGTTTTTTGTTTTTCTTGCTCAAAAGATTTATTTCCTTCTTAATTAGGTGTAACTTTTTTTTTAAATTTTTTATAAATAATTTTTTTTTTTTGTACAATCGATGTTCTGAAAAATAAAAAACATTTATTTAGGGTAAAAAGTTATATATATTATTCCCCGTCCTTTTTTAGTCAGGATACATTATTCCCCGTTCTTGTTTCCTTTTTTGACCGGTTAACGTACTAGTGATTCCCAAAAATTGAATGATTTAGTTAGAAAGTTCTTTTGGAGAATCCGATACCCTCATTTAGTATTAAAATCTAGTGATATTCCTCTTTACTTATAAGCGAGAGATCTTAGGTTCGATTCTCACCAAAAGTGAATTTGAACCACATTGTTGCTAGCCGATTGTGAGGCTAAGCCAACCCCCTCCCTTTTAGTGTAGATAATATCGTTTGTTCAAAAAAAAAAAGTATACTAGATTCGTCGTCCAGTAATACGGTCTAATGATATTTTTTTTTATTTATAAGTGAGAAGTCTTATGCTTTCGATCTCGAAAATAGTGAATTCGCAACCAATTTATTCTTCAACGTTTTAGTGTAAATATATAGTCGTATTAAAAAAAGGGTGATTTTGTATAAAATTAATAAAAAGTTACAATATTAACAATACATAATTCCAAATAGATCAATCATGTATTGTGATACTTAAAAGCATTTAAAATAAACAAAAATTACAAAATATGCCACTACAGCTGACGCCTCCTTTGTCATATATATATATATATATATATTTTTTTTTTTTATGTAAATAGATACAGGGTTGGGAACAGATGAGGAGGTTGTGATATGGATATTAGGACACATGAATGCACGCCAAAGGAGAAAAATCAAAGACACTTACCAACAACTTTACAATAAATTCCTCCTTGATGATCTCCGGTCTGAACTTCTGGAGATGGAACTATGTAACAACCCAACAAGCCCAAATCATGATAACCACAACAAGTGGCAACCATATAAAACTTACCGTGATAACCAAGAAAAGAAAAAGTGAGGATTTAATTAAAAGGAAACTAACGAAAAGTTCTAAAAAACTTTAGTTTGAATGAAAAATAACAAATAAATGTATAAGTGAATAGTACCAGGAAAGGTAAAAATATGGTTTTTCGTTAAAAATGAATAATAACGGAAATGTTTCGTTAAAATTTCATTTAATTAAAGGAAAACATACGCATGGTCTCTAATGATCTAGCTGCATAGATCTCTTTACATTTATCGTTTGTACATTTGTACGAATTTAGATTAATCTTGACCCTTGGATTAATTTGATGTAATTTAATCCTTCCACGTTAGATTTAAATTGAAATCCTCTTCGCACCATAAAGGTCACTCCACATAGGTGCAAAACGTGTAAGCACGGAGACTAAATGCAAAGTCTCAAGATTCCGACTGTACACAATAGCCTAATAAGTCACATTAGGATTTAGTGAGCCTCTTTTAGTGAAAAACAATCCTCAAAATATAAGAAAAACAATTTGGTTATTTGGACATATAAAACTGGCTTACTTGCTGACATATTCTCTAGTCGAGTTAGGCCATAGCATGGCAATTAAAACCCACTTATAAAGTATGCCAATAGTTGTATCAATTTTATCCTCTAAATAGCATTACTCTAAATAAAAGGGGCCCCTTGTAATTTTGGTTTTAGGTCTCATTCTGCATTAGGCCAACGCTAGTTTGGAATTACACAATTTGACAAGTCAAATACAAAAAGGGGGCGAGAGAGAAACGTAGAGTAAATAACACAACTATTTTATATGCAAGTAATATTACAAGCTGATGAGCAGGATGATCAGATTCTAAGGGACAAATCGGTGGTACATAAATCACCGGCGGCTTTCGCAGGGTCAATCCTTGTTTGATATCCCCCGAAGTCCTGCCCATTGGAAATTAAAATAGACAAAAAAAAGGAAGACATACGTTATACATATGTTCCGTGCATGAAGTCCTGCCCACTGGACTTCCAATATATATATATAAGATTACTTGGAGAGCTTGGTAGGTGCCTTGCCTTGTGTACCAAGATAAGTGAAACTAATTAGGCCTACCATGTTTCTTTGTACTAAATTCAGTGATCACTACTCCGCCGTAGAGGTTGGCCGCCTCGGTGCTAGTGAGAACAGCAGTGCCCCTTTTCATATGAACAGTATTAACAGGCCTTTGCATCATATTCTGGCTCTGCTGATCATGATGATGAGCTTCGTTGTAATTGGCCGTCCTGTGGATGTTCGTTTGTGGATAAAAATGTTGTCCTTGATGAGGAGGTCTTGTAGTAGTGGTGATCACCTTCTGCGGCAAGCTACCATAGTAAAGGTCAGCTGCTACGTTCGTGCTACTATTGTAAAGAACGCCGTGGCAGTCCTCGATGATGGTATGGCGTTCGGATGCAATTGGGGTAGCTACCTTACGGTGAAAAAACACTCTCCTCTCTCACAGCAAAGCGTTCAGAAACAGCCATTGCTAATAAATGAATCAAGGGGGAGCTACCTAAGCTTGCCTTACCTTGTGGTTTTCTTACTAAAATATGTTAAGAGCCTAGCCACATTATATAGGAATTCGGCAGAGGTTCACAACTCACAGTAGGCTTTCTGATCACGTTCTTGTGATTCTCTATAATGGTTCCTTTTTCTAGTATTATTGAAACGAATCTATTACAAAAAGTTTTCTACTATGACCCAGCAATTATAATAGAGGCATTGTGATTTTCACACACTTCTTTTAACATTTCCTACATTTTTCTTATTTTTCAACCGTTTAGTTGAATAAATCAACAAAAACAACGGCTATAATCAAATCGAAGTGAGTGAGATACTTAGATTATCCGTTAATATATAGCTAGATATTTCATTAGCGTTTAACATAAGTGCTTTTAGCTAAAGCACTACTAAGCAAAAACAAAAGTTCTATCTTACTCTTAAGTTCCAGAAATTTTAGCTGCTAGGTCTTATTGTATGTTATTTGTACCAATTATCATACTAGAGGTTGGGGACAATAATGTAATTAGCAATGATGGTCTGGTTGGAGAAATGCATATATCACACCCTTTACGAATAACATATCTTTACTACATAAATTCAATATAATCGGAACTGTTCAATTTTTTAATCTTCATATGAAGATTATCTTTATGAAATCATTTGAATTAGATATCATTTATGCATTCCCTTATTCTATGCATTTGGATGACTAAACGATTTCCGATTTAATTTTTGTTGAAAAAATCTTCAAATAAAGATTAAGAAATTGAACTATTTGAATTATGAAGTTTATATGAGGAACATAAATTATTAAAAAAAAAAATGAGATACGTACATTCTCGAAGAATGCAAGTATTATTCCCAATTTTTTAGTTCTCTTGAACTAATAATACATGCTGTTATAACGAGTTTTTATTTTTTATTTTTATTTTTTATTTATTTCCTCGATTAATTTGAACCAATAAAGATGCATTTGGGATAGAGTTTTGGTCGTATGCAATAGATTCTACTACAGAAAGTTATTCGATTCAAGCACATGCGTGAGCATCTCTTAGCACCCGGCACCAACTGTATGGACCGTAATCAATTAGTTTGTGAAGATTCAATGGGTCAATTGGAGAAGGAGCTTTAATGGGTCAATTGTTGATCATGCTCCCTATATAAACTACCCGCCAGCTTCGAGGGTGTAAACTTCTAAACCTATTTGCAATTAGAAATTGAATCACTCTATATAAATTTAATTTTATCAAGTTTAGAATGTCTGACTTTTTACTTTGTCACCTGCTAATCAGCATGTATGAGGGTTTATCACAATAAGTATCTATGCATGTTATAGCCTAATATTACTACTTTGTGAATCGGTGGGCTTCTTTAGTGAACAAAAAAGAAATCCTCAAAATATAGCTGATGTTGTGGTTTATTTTACTGAAGGGAGAGAAAGGGTGAGGCAAAGAGA